AAGTGGAGATCAGGGCAGGATGCTTTTGAAAAACAATAAAACACCATTTTTCCATTGTCTCTTTAAAAGCAATATTCTCCAATCCCTGTCAAAGGAGATCTCCCCGCATCCTGTGACATGCCTGCCTCTGCCCTTCTCCAACACAGGAGATATTGCGAACACGCTTCCCCACGGACCCCACAGCGGAGCGAAGTCATTCATCACCTTCAGATTGATGTGCAGATCTGATAGCATCTCTGCAGTGCACGGGCCTATTCATGAACATCTGGGTGTCTTAATTTAGCAAGGGCAAAAGATGCAGAAAAACAACCATAGGATGCCCCTGGTGGGAAAGCCCAGCGACGACCACTGGGGTCAAGATACCCCATCAGGGTGCCTTAACTGCTCCCTTTCATTTTGACTGTCTATGGAGACAAGAGCACCTGGGGATGTTTCCTGGGCTCACATAACTGTATATATAACTATATATGTATAATATCTACAACTGTATATGTAACAACTATACATATAAATATTATATATATATATATATATGAATAGTTACATAATATAACTATATATAGTTTTTTTTGAGACAAAGTCTCACTCTGTCACCCAGGGTGGAGTGCAGTGGTACCATCTCCACTTGCTGCAAACTCTGCCTCCCAAGTTCAAGTGATTCTCCTGCCTCAGCCTCCTGAGTAGCTGGGATTATAGATGCCTGCCACCACGCCCAGCTAATTTTTGTATTTGTAGTAGAGATGGGGTTTCACTGTGTTGGCCAGGCTGGTCTCGAACTCCCGACCTCAGGTGATCTGCCCACCTCAGCCTCCCAAAGTGCTGGGATTACAGGTGTAAGCCACTGTGCCTGGCCCGTATATATTATTCTGAGAATAATCTTGGTGTGTTCTCAGAAAAAGCCTAGAGGGAGCATGCAGCATTTACCACTCAGGTATCACTCAGCCTCCTGGCTGGAACAGACAGCCTGCTCAGGATGGTTTAACTGGAGGAAGTGTTGTAAAGCCTCTGAGCATAATGGAGGGAAATGGCCAGGGGGTGCAGCACCCCACGCTAGTCGCAGCTGGGAGCTGTTTCCACCTGCCTAGGGGCAGGGCAAAGCAGCTGAGTTGCTGGAGCCCAGAGAGAGGAGAACCACAGTAAACAGACTTCTCAGTGGGACAGGTGTGTGAGTGTAGAGGACCACATCCCCGAAAGACACACATGAGGCCGGGCTGATGTGTCCCTGGGATCCTGAAACAGTACCATGGACAGGGGCTGAAACAACAGACTCGGATTCTCTCATAGTTCCTCAGGCTGAAAGTCCAAAATCAAGGTGTCAGCCACATCACCACTTCCTCCGAAGGCTCTAAAGAGACCCGCCCTTGCCTCTCTGCTAGGCTGGGCGAGTTGCCGGCTACTCTTTCTTTCCTTGGCTACTGGGTGCTACTGGATGCTTCAGTCTTTGCCACCATCCTCACATCTTGCATCCTCCATGTCCAAATCTCTGTCTCCTCGTAAGGATAGCAGTCATTGAATTTGAACTCCAGTCTAATCCAGCATGATCTCCTCTCAACTTCAGTACATCTGCAAAGACCTTACTTCCAAATAAGGTCACATTCATAGGCACCAGGAGTCAGGGCTTCAATCTATTTTCTTGGGAGGGTGGGCATAATTCAACCCATTCCCTCCAGTTCCCTCTGGTGCCTCCCACTGGTTAAAGCCCTCTAGAAGCCAGAGGGCAAGGGATCCTGGGGCCTGTAGTTCTCATGGGTCAGCCCCCAGGACCCAGAGCAGAGCCCAGAAGGGTCTGGAAGGGCAAACCAGTCACAGGAGAAGGCCTTGCTGCCATCCTTTTCCTAATAATCCTTTCTAGCTGCATTCTTTATCCAGGGGTTCCAAGGATCTCTCAAGCCCTAATGAATCTCCATGACACCCCAGAGCGGTGAGAATTAGATCATCGTTTTGCAGATGCGAGGATAAGTAGCAATCTCTCCTTTAAACAGCCCTACTGATTGCCACTTTATTTTTAATTTGATTTTATGCAGAGAGATAGGAACATGTTCTAGGAATTTTGAAAGCTCTGTGTAAGAAAAAAACCCCAAGTTACCACCATGTTTCAAGGGTCAAGGAATATGATTTCATAATGAGTTTTGCAAGGGGTGAAAAATGACAATAATTTGAAACTTTTCAAAATTCCAGGAGAAGTGGTGAGATTTACCACTTCTCAGGAAATTTAATTTCAGACTGAATATATCAGTCCTGAGGGCAAAGAACTTCTTCCTTCGCCTGCCAGAATTAGTGGTTACTGCCTTCTCTGGAGCCCAAAGCATGACTCTAGAGTTTCTTTGTGTTTTGTTTTTTTAAATTTCAAATAAACAGTAGGAAGAAAGTTCACGACATTAACAGAGCTAGAAATCGGTTGGATCCCACCCCCTTGCCCACCTTGATTTGTCTGACAGCAGCGTCTGATCACTACCTGGACCTCATCAGAGGAAACATCTACCTGCTTGCTGTCTGTCGCTTCCCTGGTGTATACCTGCAGGAGGGCAAACTTTGTCTGCTGCCTGCTGTCCTCGTAGGACCTGCAACAATGAATACCTGCAGAGCTGAGTAAGGCTGAATAAATTCTGCTCTGTGTATATTCTCTTTCTTTCTTTCTTTTTCTTTCTTTCTCTCTCTCTCTCGTCTCTCTCTCTCTCTCTCTTTCTTTCTTTCTTTTTTTGACAGAATCTCACTCTGTTGCCCAGGCTGGGAATGCAGTGGCACCATCATGGGTCACTGCAGCCTCCAACTCCTGGGCTCAAGCGATCTTCCCACTTCAGCCTCCCCAAGAGCTGGGACTACAGGTGTGTGCCATTGCGCCTGGCTAATTTTGGTATTTTTTGTAGAAACAAGGTCTCACTATGTTGCCCAGGCTGGTCTTGAACTCCTGGACTCAAGAAATCGTCCCAAAGTGCTGGGATTACAGGTGTGAGCCATGCACTTGTCCTTGTCCATTTATTCTTAAAAAGTGACCACCACTCTAGCCACTGACATACACAATGGATCACATGGAAATCTGTGTCAGGTCTCTGCTCACGTGGCCTCAACTTGGGATGCTGGGATGTGAACACTTTCCTCTGACACTGAAGAAGGAGCAACCTCTAACGATTTTGTCAGTCCCAAATGCTCCTTCCTTTAGTTTTGAAAGCTTTTTGTAAGAAAGTGGCCTTGGTCCTCCATTCAGACACCTCTCTCGCCTTGCCCCTTCAAGTCTGACTTTGGCACAGTGGGAGCCAGGGCAGGCAAGAGGGGATTAGGGAGAGGTGAGTGCTGGCGGGAGGGCCATGGAGCTAAGACTTGGAGCTTTCCTGCCCCCACATGGCAAGAATCTCATTGCCAAGAAGCCTGGAGGCAGGATGAGCAAAACGGTGGCCTTGGGAATCAATGATCTCCAAATAAAACAGTGCCCAGGCACCTGGAGTGAGATTCAGGTGGCTTCCGCCTGCAGGGTCTGCTCTGGGGAGAGTTGAGAGAGCTACTCCCTGCTTTTCCCATTGCATTTACTCAGGGGGAGAAAGAGGCTGTAGGCGAATGAGGCTATGGCTGAATCCTCCCATCCATGGCTGTCTCCTTGGATTTAGGAAAGAGCTTCAGAAGGCCTGATTTTAAGGTAAGAACTTCCCAGTGAGGTAGATTTTCCATCTGTTAATCCCCTATTTCACCTTTCTGAAGTTTGTTTTCTTTAAAACTATCAACAAATTGAAAAACACACTTAATTTGTTCAAAGATCTAACCAGCTGTCTCACCGGCTGCTAACAGACAACATAGGATTTGCTTTTCATTCATTATTATTTTTTTTAATTTCTCATCTTCTAGTCAAAGCTGCAGTTTTATTAGCTAGTTATTTCCAATAAAAGTTTATTTTTTGCCCGGTTATAAATGTTCTGAAGCTCACTCTAAGCCAAAACTTTTAACATACAGAAAATAGAATAATAGAAACTCCTTCAAACTGCCCCATCTGTTTCCTAATTTTCCATGTTGCTTTGCATAGCTGAGGTCAAGTTGTACACCCCAGGGGAGGCAAAATGATGCTACTGCGTGTATTAGTCTGTTTTCATTCTGCTAATAAAGGCATATCCGACACTGGGTAATTCATAAAGGAAGAGAGGTAATGGACTCACCATTCCATGTGGCTGGGGAGGCCTCACAACCATGACGGAAGGAAAAAGCACGTCTTACATGGTGACGGGCAAGAGAGAATGAATGCCAAGCGAATGGGTAAAACACTTACAAAAGCTCTAGATCTCCCGAGATTTATTCACGACCTAAAGAACAGTATGGAAAAACCACCCCATGAGCCAATCATCTCCCATCGGGTCCCTTCCACAACATGTGGGAATTATGGGAGCTACAGTTCAAGATGAGATTTGCGTGGGGACACAGCCAAACCATATCACTGCATAAGCACCCAAATCCAGTGTTCAGAGCCCAGAACTCTATGCCGGTGCTGCAAAGATGTTTGTTTATCAATGAACTTTGAATAAAGCTTGTTGGAATTCACATACATTTACTTGCAAACAAAAAGATCCTGACAAGAGTACAGACATTAGTAGTCACTTCACTTTACCTTAAAGGCAGTACAAAGACACAGCACCCCCAATAATAACAATACATCCGTCCAAGGAAGATGTGCTCCCTTGAAAACGGCCATTATAATATCTCACAGTCTTAAGATGGCTTTTCCTTTTCAAAGTATTTGAATGTCTTATTCTTCTGAAATAGGTAAGGCTGAAACAGCGCTTGTAGTCCAGAACCGACGTGGGTGTGGTTCCAGGACACAGGTCTGCAAATTTTCTCTCTAAAGGTCCAGATAGTAAAAATTTTAGAGTGTATGAGCCAAGAGGCAGAACTGAGCATATCAAGTAGCTAGACAGGGCCATTTAAAAATGTAGATATTTACAAATATTAAAGCCATTCTTTGCTTGCGTGGTGTAAAAAACGGCCAGCAGATTGGATGTGGCCACAGACTGTTGTTTTACGACCCCTGTTCTAGGGCATAAAAAGTCAAAAGGAATTATTCTCTAGCCTCACAGTGTTTACAGATCTTTGTGGTAGATGATACCTTCTGGGGTGGACATCTGCTGTTTTGTCTGACCGGCATCTGTTCCCTGACTTTCAGTGAAAGCCAGATTTTTCCATGATGCATAGGCTCTTAGTCTCAATCCACACCTGCCCCACCTGAGGCTACACCTGCCCCACCTGATTTCACACCTGCCCCACCTGAGGCCACACCTGCCCCACCAGATTCCATACCTGCCCCACCAGATTCCACACCTGCCCCACCTGATTTCACACCTGCCCCACCAGATTCCATACCTGCCCCACCAGATTCCATACCTGCCCCACCTGATTTCACACCTGCCCCACCTGAGGCCACACCTGCCCCACCAGATTCCATATCTGCCCCACCTGATTTCACACCTGCCCCACCAGATTCCACACCTGCCCCACCAGATTCCACACCTGCCCCACCAGATTCCACACCTGCCCCACCAGATTCCATACCTGCCCCACCTGATTCCAAACCTGCCCCACCTGATTCCACACCTTCTCCACCTGAGGCCACACCTACCCCACTTGATTTCACATGTGTCTCACCTGCTGCTACACTTCCCTCACCTGATTCCACACCTGCCCCAGGGTGATACATTTCTCAGGACCAGCCAATAAGAGCAACACATTATTTTCATTTCAGTGGTTGGCTTCAGGTTAGGCTCATGACCCAAGCCAATCAGTTCCAATCAGTCTCTGTCCCAGAGGATTTGCTGGAGCGATTGGCAATGAGGTTTCCACTCATTTCTTGCTGGACATGAGGCTGTGAAGAAGCCAATATGGCATTGCCGGGGCCACCTTGTGACTAACAAAGAGGAAGGAGAGCTGAGAAAGGAAAAGAAGCCAACATCCAGACCACATCATTTGCACTTCAAGTGTGTTCTGCAGACCAGCCACACTAGCATAGCTTAGGAGCTTTGAAAAATAAGTACCCAACCCAGACCTCCTAAGCGAGGATGGGCATCTACTCAAAATGTTCATGTGATCCGCATGTACAACAGTGTTTGGGAAACACTTTTCTAGACTTTTAAAGTTATGTGAGCCAAGTTTAAGTTGGGTTGTGTCTGTAGCCTTTATAACCCAAAGAATCCTGAATAATCCATTTCTCATAATCCTGATGAATCCGTTTCTCATGACACCATTCATGCAAGTAGCATGTTTGCGTACGCATTCTCATCAGTGCACACTATTAATAGCAACCGAAGAGTGACCATATTGTGAGTCAGACAGAGGGACTGCACCACTCAAGCCCAATGTCACTCATCTACTCTATATTTCACGCTGACCTTGCAGTCCAGTGAGCCCAGTGAGAGTTCATTCCTGAGTGAGCTCCATCATCCTAAGGAAAGAGGAGATGAAGGGGCATCTATCTCAAGCATGGAGTGGGCAGCAGGAAGGAGCCAAGTCTGCAGAAAGATAGCAAAGCTGACTGTCTTTTTAGCTCAGTGGTTTCCAACTCTGGCTGCACAGTGGAATCACCTGGGGAGCGTCTCAAAATAACAGGTGCTCACTTCCACCTCCAGCAATTATTGTGACTTGCTGGACTACACTTTATGACTAAAGTTGAGAAAGGCCAGCCTAATGAAAAGTTGCAACTTCCAGGGCGGGGGAAGAGGAGAAACTTTGAAAGTAAACACTCCATAAAACCATTGTAGCAAACATCCCATGACAGATAGGAAGGACACAGGATGCGATCAGGTGGCTGAATGCAGGAGCGTCCACGGTAACTCCAGACTCACCATAGCCAAGGGAACGATGCCCACCAGGTCCTTCTGGCTGATGAAGATCTCAGACACTGCGATGTCTGTGGTCCCCTTCCGTGGGTATTCCACCTGCCATGTGATGGGCTGAGTCCCCGAAAGGCTGCTGAAACTGGCTATTTCAAAGTTCATCTGCACAACCTCATTGAACAAACTGCTGCTTCTGGAAGAGAGAAAAGAAAATGGCTTTAAGCCAACTTCATTCAAAGGATCCTTCTCTCCCTCATAATTGTACCCAGAAGATAAAGACAAAGAAAGCACCTTTAGGGGATGGCTCTGGGGTTTTGGTGGGGACGCCTGGGGCATGGAACCACCTACAAGGTAAGGACTGGCAGCTGGGACAGAGAAGCACCCACAAGTTAGGGATATGGGTCAAGAATCTTCAACCTGAGCAGTAAGCTGTGACCCTTGGAATGGTTATTACCAGCTCTGCAGATGATACATTAAGCCAGTTTATCTTACACCTGCAGTGTGTACCTGAATGGCCTCTGTTCAGTTCTGTAGATGCGGCAGATGCTTTAGGCTGGGGTCCCCAACCCCTGGGCCATGAACCAGTACCAGTCCATGGCCTGTTAGGAGCAGGGCTGCACAGCAGGAGGTGGGTGGTGAGTCAGCGAGTGAAGCTTTGCCTCTATTTACAGCCACTCCCACAGCTGGCATGACCACCTGAGCATTGCCTCCTGTCACATCGGCCGCAGCATTAGATTCTCACAGGAGCACGAACTGTATCTTGAACTGTGCATGTGAGGGATCTAGGTTGTAAGCTCCTTATGAAAATCTAATGCCTGATGATCTGTCGCTGTCTCCCATCACTCCCAAATGGGACTGTCTAGTTGCAGGGAAACAAGCTCAGGGCTCCACTGATTCTACATTATGGTGACTTGTACAATGAGTTCATTATTCAATATTCATTATTTATTCATTATTATTACAACATAATAATAGAAATAAAGTGCCCAATAAATGTAATGTACTTGAATCATCCTGAAACCATCCTTCCCCCACCACCCCAATCTGTGGAAACATTGTCCTCCACAAAACTGGTCCCTGGTGCCAAAAAGGCTGGGGACCGCTGCTGTGGGCCACTCACTCCACAGCACCTTCACCCCCCTCTGCTTGTCCTCCTCTGCTGTAGGGGCTGAGAGGCCTAAACTACATTCTCAGGCCTCCTTGCTGCTAGATGCAGGATTGAAGCAGAGTTTGCTCCAGTCAGACTCACTCATTTGGGACTTAAGAGGGAGAATTGGGTTCTGGAGAAGCAATCAGGAAGGGAATTGGGGTTTTCTGGTGAGCACAGTGGCCCTGGTTCTCCTGGGGCAGCTGTGGGGTGCCCCTGGCATCCAGGCCTTCCCATCATCACCCTAAGGGGTGACAGTGATACTTCCACCACCACAGTCTTCTGTAGGGGTTGGATCTTTTCTGTCTGTGTTATCCCTGGCTGCCCTGTCCCTGGCTGTGTAGTAAATACATTCAATTCAGTGGTTCTCCTAGAGATTATTCAAATTACCTAGTATCCTTTAATGGCACCTCTTCTGCTTAGAGGGACTACTTAGCTAAACGGACTCTTTGTCTGCGACTAAGAATTCTGACCAATTCCATGCATTTGACATATATGTATTTTGGGAACTACTGGTGGTCCAAACTTTTTCATTTTTTAGATTAAATGTAAATTATTAAAGCCAAAAAAGGAAAAAAGGTTTGCCCACAGTCACATAACTGGGTAGTGCGGTCAACATAAAATGTAGCATCTCCCGTCTCCCAGTGCAGTGCTCCTTACAGACCCTCACCTAAGGCGGCTGGTGGTCAAACACGACATCACAAGGCTCCAACAGTTTATTTTTTGTTTGTTTATTCATCTTTTTTTTTCCCCTTAGGGAAGGAGACAGCAAGCTGTGTCCTGTGAACCAGATGCAGCCAACTGCCTGTTTTTTGAGCCACCTTTCACTGCCGTACAGCCCGGCCTGTTCATTTACGTTTCCTATGGCTGCTTTCATGTTACCAGAACATGGTTGAGTAATTGCATCAGTCAATGTAGAGCCTGCAAAGCCTGAAATATTTCTCATCCAGATCTTTACAGAAAACGTTTGCCAGTATTGGCTACAGAAGGTCACAGGAGGGGAAGCTGGCCGGGCTTTCCAGAGCTGTTGAGTCAATAGAACCGCTATTGGTGGAAACAAGAAGGCAGGGCATGCCAGGCACCAAGCTGGGTTTTTAGGGGCCAGGGTTCTGGTGAGCCTTAGCATCCAGCCCGAGGTGGCTCCAGTGCCCTCTGCTGATAGCTAAGGATGGCAATAAGTGGTGGGTCAATGGTCAGCAAGACCTCAGGCTGGCATCCTGGAAGGCTACATGTTTGCAGGTGAATGAAAGGAGATTTTTCCATGGCACATCAAGAAAGAAATGCCAAACATGCTTAAAAACTGCTTCTCAAGCATGTGCCAACAAAAAGAGTAGCAGTGAAATGCTTCCTTTTGCTGGGGCATTAATACTGGGTACACCATTCAATCTTCAGGGCTTGATTGACAGCCAGAATAAGCTAACTCTCCACCACATCACCCTCAGTCCCGCTCAGTGGCTGGGGAAGGGCATAACGGGAAGGTTACCGCATCAAACAAAAACACTGGGACTCGTGAATCTCCCTTAAGTCCACAGGGCCAGTAGTAGGGCCCAGATAATCATGATTTATGAGATGCTAGAGATTCCTCTGGGAAAGAAAAGAAATCCAAGGTCTTGACTATCAAGCCAGGGGCTGCAAATCTCAAGCACGAATTGGTCTTTAAAAATGAGGGAGGGGTGTCTTGGGTCTAGAGTGTTTCCAAACTAAGAGATGTGTTCTTGGTCTAGCAGCTGAGGCCCGGAGGGGTCTGGGCCTGCACAACTCAACATCCAGGAGATGCTCTCTCACTGCCGACCTGCAGACAGCCTTGCATTCCAGGGAGTTTAATCTTGCCTTCTTACCAAGCACACCTGGACCTGACTCTCCTTATCTGCCACCTGGCCACCAGTACTGGCGCTGTCCAGGAGCTGCATGGCTACTTGAGTAACTCTACTCAGCAAATCATTACTTCCCTTAGTACTGGACGTGGCAACCATGCAACTGTCCAAAGACCCCCTTTCAGTCCCAAAGGGATGCCTATGCTGGCACAGCACCACCGAGGCTGCAGTGAGCTTTCAGCCTGCACCCTCTCTTCACCCCCTTACAAAGCTCTGTGAGCACTGCAACCACTCACATCATCTCTCCGAGACTCGGTGGCACCATCTAGAAGACTGAAATAATGGCATTCCCATTGTACAGGGAGGAACGAGGCATGAAAAAGCAGCCAGCACAAGTTCTCCTGCTCCAGTGGCACCCTCCTCCGCTGCAATTATGCTAACAAAGGGCATTAAGAAAGGCACAGTCAAGGACAAGAGAAAAGAGAAGCGGTACTTTTCCTTTTGGCCTGAAAGACATTGTTATGTGATTTTTGTGAGCAGTGAGGTGACCTCCCTAAAGCGCTTTGTTATAGTTGGCACAAGAATAAAAATAACATGTGACTGTTGACAATATACTCCCCCCGTGCTAGGCACTGGACCAGGTTCCAAGCATACTTTAGTCCAAATCCAAATCCAAATCCAAACCCTGGGGTGGTGACTGAGGTTCTCATTTTGCGTCAGTTCCCAGCACAGACACTCTTGAACCCCTGTAGCCAGAAAGAGCTTCAGCCTGTTCTTCAACCACAGATAGAAGGGAGCCACTCAGCAGGTCCCGTCTGAAACATTCCGCAGCTCCCCAGTCTGATGCCCACCACCTGCGAGCCAACTAAACCTAATCTTAGTTTCAGAATGGAAAAAAAAAAATACAAATTTCACAAGTGGATGAAAGCTGCAGCTTTCTGGCAGCTGCACAGAATTCTGGGTCAGGGTGACATCAGGGCAAGCTCCCTGGCGCACTGGGGGCAGGGGTCTGGCTTGAACACTGACATCAGTCTTTCAGGAAGTTGGAGATCTCAGACAGAAAGAAGAGATAATTCTGTGTCCACAGGGACCCTGGGAATGTGTGTGATGGACCAAAGGTCAGACCAGACTGACCCAACAGAGAAATGAGCTCCTGGGAGGCCTCAGGATTAAACATTCTGACACAAGACAAGGAATTCTTCTGGGAAGATACAGAGCCAATGCCCTTGTTCCTTTATTTTTGTGCATCCATATTCTTTCCTACCCCTTCTCCATCCCCACACAGCCTTGTCTTCTTTGTCTCTAAAAAATGCATAGTATGATATATCTAAGTTAAAGAAAATGCAAACCTATTTCGAAATTTGACCCTTTTGTGGAGATGAGTGACTGGCAATTTGGTGTTGCTGGCTCTGCTCTGAGCATTTTAAGGGAGCGTCTCCACTCTGTCCTTGCTGACTTATGGGATGACTGCTGGATAGCAGAAGGTTTTCCTAGAGAAGTTGGGAATCTAGGCTTTTTTCTCTAAAATCCCTGGATTTTAAATTATAAGAACCTTCGCTTTTTAACCGTGGTGTAGCTGAGACGATATCTCTGCTGACTCAGTTTCCTGCCTGTGGCTTAGAAGAAGGTTTCACTCCAGCATCTCCATATTTTGGCAAAAGCATTTTATAGAAATGCTGTGACCTGAGGTGGAAGATGTCTTCTAAAAAATGATGCATGTGGTGATTCACCAACTGCGGTGCCAAGGACTCCTGGTGCTCCAGGGGTGAGGCAGCAGTGGCCTTGGGGCTAGGGCCAGTCCCTAACCCCGCTCCAGCCCTGACAGACTCCTGTTGCAATGAAAGCACCTCCAAACTGATGTGTTATCTATATTAGGTCTCCAACAAGCATTTCATTGAAATAACGAAAGAGAAAAGAAGAAATGAAGCAAGAAATGAATTGAGGAAGTGAGAAGAGAAGGAAGGAAGAGAGTGAGAGAGGGAAGGAGAGAGGAGGAAAGTTAGCACCTAGATGAAAAGCCATGGCTCCTTAAGCGTTGTAC